CTCAACAATTCTTACTTTTTCTTCGCAGAGGGAAAGCAACAGTAGACATTCGTGATTAGGCAGGGTCTTGACTTTGCAGCGATACGCGTCGACGTGCTGTAACACGTTACGATTGTTCCAAAGGTATAGACGCGAACGCAGCCGCAGAAGGGAACTGATCGGCGGCCCACTCATGTATTGATAGGGTATGGGGAGGGTTGCTTGATCACGCAGTCTGCTATTGATCGGCATTGGCCACTGAGCGATGCCCATCGATTCCCGTCTGCGTCTGCGTTCGCGTGCGTAGACTGGAGCGCTGTTGCAAATTGAGGGGCGTCGTCGCACGTTACACTGGCCGGCGAGCGTCATCGCGCTTTGCAGCGCGCCAAAGAGCGTCATCGCGCGTTACAGCGCGCCGACGAGCGTCATCGCAGAGTCTGAGCGCTGCCTAAATCTCATTACTCCATCCCGGTGAGGACTTCGAAAAAATGTGGTTGTTTTCGGTCTACACTCTTACTACCCTTGATCGGATTTCAATCTCAAATGGACAAGCTCTAAAAAACAATTTCGTTTCCCTCAACAATAATTCAGATCTCCTACAATTACAACTATGGTCAGTTCATGGACTTCCTCAAAACGAAAAATATCACTGTCAATCTGCTCGAAGAACCGAACTTGGTAAGAATGTTGTAATAGAGGGATGCTATCCTATCCGAGTGATCAAAACTGCTTTATATCTTACAGATTATGACCAAAATGGATCCACCTTTGGCTATTCTTGCTTCGTTATGGTTCTATATGACACCGCAGCCGCCAAAGCCAGCAATGCATGATATTGTTATGGGTAGGTCTTCATACAGTCTTGTTTGCTACACATGCTAGGGTGTGCCTGGAGGGGGGGAAGGTCTGGCGCGGCACCAGCCATGTGGGTTTCGCACATCCATTCACGCACTTGCAACCTTTCTGAGTGAAGCAAATGGAACCTTTTTTTTCGAGAGATCCACACCCCTCATTTTTCTTTGGAGAGATCTGCCCCCCCTCGTCCCCCCCCCCCCACCCCCTTCAAAAG